GTAGGGAAGGAGAGATTTTATCGAAATTCTGAAGTGCTTGCAAGATCAGGACTCTGATTTGAAGCTCGTGTTTTTGGTAACTTTTTTCCTTCGGCGAAGGATTAGTCACACTTGCCAACAATCACAAGGAAATCCTGGTCCTTAATGAAGCCGCATGGCAAAACTCCCACTGACTTCAGGATTTTGCAGTGCTTGTATCTGTAAAGGCAACAAAATAAAAACATTTTAAGATACTCTACTTCTCCCTAATGAAGCATGTTTATTTTCCCTTAGTAATAAAAAACATCTGTATGACTTTCCGTCATACACCCGAGAAACAAGATTTATTTTTTCCCTTCCGTGTTTAAAAATTCTTGGATTAAATTTAAATTCAGGCTCAATTTTGGGGAAGGACCCCCAAGGGGGGGCTGCCCAAAAGAGAAAGCCCAAAGGTACAGCTGGGGAGAGGCTGGAAGGACTGTCCAAATTTAACTCCAGGGTGACGCTACAATTCGACTGTGGGAGGCTCAGAATGTTTCTGTAGGAGGGCTTGTGTTCATCATTATTCGACAGTGTGTTAGCGAGGAATATACCTATCATTCAGCAGCGTTTTAAAATAAAATTTAAGGTGTTACTTTGAGTAGAAGCTTTCCAAAACTGTCATCTGTGTCTAGTAAAACTGAAACTTGTATTACCGCAGATGATTGGCATGGCTGGTGCATTTTATTCCTGCCCAGCTGGTTCAGCAAGGCGGTGCGAGGCCCCTGGCTGCGTTCTGTTCTAGGGCTGCGTGTATTATAGCCCCGGGCTCTGGGGACTGCCATGGTCCTCGTCTTGCAAATACTTTACGCGTATGCATAGCTTGTCTTAATCAATACTAAGCATTAATTTTGCTCTGTGTGGACATGATTCTTGGAAGAATCGGAGCTGAAGCGAAAGGATGAAGATGTTTAGCATCCATTTGTACAATTTCTCTGCAGACCGCAGAGACAGTTGGTGGGTCCATTGCTTTCCTTCCGATTATTTTTTTTTTTTTTCCTTCTCATTTTTGGATCTGTTCCCTTTGCACTCCATCACCCCCACAAGAAAAGATACCGGCCACTGAACTAGAGCTTTGCAAATGTCTGCGTTCAACTGCACTGCATCTTGTTATCACATTTGGGAGATGCTTAAATATTACTCTTCTCTTCAGGAGCTTTGGTTTCCAGTGCCAGGCAGGCTGCAGCTCTACAAGAGCTCCTTACAGAGCTCAGATGATGCATTTCAAGCCACCTTGCTTCCATTTTTTTCATCCTGCACTATACCAACCTTCGGAACTTACCAATGGCCAGCTGAGTTTGGCTAGTATGATGGCAAGTCGGAGCAGTGGGAGTATAAAATGGGCATCCCTCATAAATAGCTGTGCAGAGCAGCACATCTCAGGGTTGTTAGATGTGTGCAGCCACAGCAACAGTCAGTGAAAAATATTTTGTTTAAAATTCAACTGAAAGAATGAATTTGATGATTTGTGGCTGTGCCTTATTTTGGAAATTAGAGCTGCCTAAATATGATCAATAGAAAAGGTAAACACACCGTAACGATAGAAATCACCCCATGAATCCCGTGAGATTGCTGTTATATGGGTTGAGCTTGAAAATTCTGCTCGTCACCTTTTGAATTCTTCCAGTGCTAATACAGAAGCTGTGTATTGCTGTTTCACGCAATTTTAATAGTTGTGTACTATTTCTGCTGTATTTATTTCTAACTGTTCGCTAGGACCTCTATAATGAACTGATTAATTAGGGCTGGGTGCATAGCTGGTCTGATAATGCAAACACCCAAGCAGCCCAGCTTCAGATAACTTTAAAATGAGCAGATATCTTGGTTTGGTTTTTTTTCTTTTCTTTTTTTTTCTCTTTCCCAGCTTTTTGCATTATGCTAACTTTTGTTTTTGTTAATCTCTCACGACTGTTTTGAAGAGCAGATGGACACAACTGGACCTGATCTAGTCTGTGCTCCTGGGCTCTAAGCATCCTTGTATAAGCTAATGTTTTATTCTTATGCAGGTTTTACTTACTAAAAAATATGTTTAATATCCAGCCTTTAGGCAGGTACATAAAATCTGCAGAAGTTAGGATCTCTTGCCAACAAGCCTCTTGCTTAATGTGTGTGGTGGGGGATGTTTTCCAAATGCTGATGATGGCTTATAGCTCTACGTAAACCATCAACCGATGTGTCAGACCATCTACCGAGGGCAGCAGAAATTGCTCATCCACCAAACTGTGATGTTTGGGTTGGTTTTGTTTTTACCTTTCGATGATCATAGCATTGTGTCTACTATCCATTGTACAAATCATTTGGCTAATTAGGGCTTGGCTTTGACTTGTTGAATTTCTTTTCAGTAGGTCAGCGTCCCCTAACTACCTAACTTCGGTCCTTCAGCAGACTCACGGCCGATCTCTGAAAGGTAAACATTTAATTTTCTTTCTGCTCTGCTCCCCTGGGTTTAGTCGCAAGCACGTATGAAGCCCAGCTGATGCTGTCTGTGTACGGACCTGCTCTGAAGGGTCTGCTAGATTATGAAAAAGCCTGATGTAGTAGAACACATCCTCATTATATGAGCCACTTGTGTATTAAATTTAAATCCAGAAGATGAACTTCAAGATGTAATAGGAGTTGTCTTGTTCTCCCAGCAAGGTGTTGAGTAGACGGAGCACTCCCAAATAGAACCTATTTACAGGATGAATAGTTCAGTAGAAAACCAGTCTGAAAGCTCCGTATCTCTGCGCTACTTTTACTGGATACCAAGAACTGAGAACGAAAGGCAGCAAATTTTAATGTCTAAAATTTATGGGATGTGGCCACAGAAGTCTTTTAAAGTGTGTGTGATACAGGTGGGTGGGAGAGCGCGACAGGATTTACAGGGGAACGTGGAGCAACGAGTATACTTGTGATAGGACGAGGGGTAATGGTTTTAAGCTGAAAGAGGGGAGATTGAGATGAGATATTAGGAAGAAATGTTTTCCTGTGAGGGGGGTGAGGCAGTGGCCCAGGTTGCCCAGAGCAGCTGTGGATGCCCCATCCCTGGAGGGGTTCAAGGCCAGGCTGGATGAGGCTTTGAGCAACCTGGGCTGGTGGGAGGTGTCCCTGCCCATGGCAGGGGGGTGGGACTCGATGGTGTCTAAGGTCCCTTCCAACCCAAACCATCCTGTGACTCTATGATGTGGACTCTGAATACAGACAGGTCTGGATGCCGCAGGCTGTATGGGGTGGGAGAGGTGCCGGCTGCAGCGTGCAAGCTCAGCAGGGGATGTCTACGCTTTGGCTTTTGTAGCACAGACAAACCTGAAGTGGTGTTGCTACTGAGAAACAACACAGGTTTTGGGGGGGGGTTTTGCTGTTTATTTTCAGGGAATCCCTCCTAAAGTGCAGCGTTGCTGTCTTTCTGCTCTCCACTTCCTCACCCTACTGGGATCTGCCTACTCTTACAGGTTTTAACAAGTGTTGGAGTAACAAGGACTTGGCCATAGTTGTGTCTTAGGGATTTCTATTTCTGCTTTCCACATGGAAAAACAGGCAGCCAGATTCAGATTTAAAAAAAAAAAAAAAAAAAAAAATTTAAGATGGAAATCTGTTTTTCATCAACAGTCAAATGCAAATAGAAGTAGCAACAGCTGTTGAACAGAAAATGGTTACTTCATTTTCTCATATGTACTTTAAAAACATTTTTCTTCATTTTCAAACATTTTAGTGGGCCTTGGTACCAGAATAGAGCTAGATAGCATGCTTGCATATCACAGCATTTTTTATTAAGAAGCCTGTTGAGCACAGGTCTTGTACCTCGCTAATAAAGCTTAACCCTACTGAAGGCTTGTCCTCATAAAAAATAATAATTTCAAAAAAAGTGCTGAAAAGTGACTCATGGTCATTTTTTAAACAGCTGATTCCAAGAAAAAATGAGCATGTGTTAATTTGTTGTAGCGAGGATATTAAAAGGCCACTGACGAAGCGGGACTTGAGCAGCACAGCAGCATCCAGCTCTCCAGTGTGTCTCTCTGGTGTGTCCTGTGATAGTTTTGGAGATTGCCAGGCTGATGCTAACGCAATTTGCTACAGCGGAGGTGCCAAGATAACGATGTATATCTGCTCTCATTGAATTTCTGCATCTTGGTGAACCTGCTCAGCATCTCCCTGGCATTGGAGGCAAGCCATTCGTGTTCGCAGGGTCCCACAGGGCAGCTGTTGGGCAGATGAAAGAATTCCTTGTAATCAGGTGCTTCCTCAGCCATTCTGCGGGGGAAGCATAAATTTGGGAAATACTGCTCTATCGAGGAGAGCAATTAACGGGGACACAGAGCACTGCTAGGAAGTTGCTGCACAAGTGTCTCTCCTGTTTCTTTGGGTGTGCTAACATGTGAAAACACTATTTGCAGGTAGTAATTCTGTGTTGCATTAATGCCTCCAATTGCTTGTCACTTTATCAAGATGATGCTTGTATACCAACATCGTATATTAAAAACAAGCTGTCTGTGATAGCAAGTAAGGAATGGGAATATTTCACTTTCTGGTTATGGTAGTGTGGAGGAGAGTAACTCTGTGCTTTTTTATATTTCTTTTTGTCAGTTGGGTATGTATGACTTGTAAATTCAGGGGCTCTGTTGCTGCCAAAGAAAGACAAAACAGAATAAAAAAAAATAATCTCGTGTGTGCAATGGGATAGACCTTAAAGTATGCTTGTTTTAAAATAACAGAAAGTGAAAACAAGGGGGAACGTGTATGTTCTATAATCTGTGTTGGAAGCAGCAGGTCAGTCCCCTTTCCATGTTGGTACAACATTCCCAAGGTGACATCTTCTTCAAATTTCTCTTTGACCAGGGATGAAGTTAGGGGCAGCTATAGAAGACAAGGAAGCCAAACTGACGGTTCTGCAATCCTCCTCCCAGTACTAACCCTCCCCTCAGATTCAGTAACGCAGTTAATGCATATGGGGGGCTGAAGAAATGACATCAAAAATGACATTGCTGATGTTTCACTTCAATTCCCACGCCAGTTTCAGAGAGCCCCGTCTGCTCGCTGCCAGTGCTTTCCACGCCTTGTTTTCCCTCCCCACTTCTCCACTCATATGTACATGCATACGTACACCTTGGATGTGGTCTTTTGCTCCGGGACACCAGGGTTTTTGTGAGAGCTCACCATCTCTTTGCTCCTCTTTTGCCTGGTTAGCCCACCGTATATATAGATTTACATATTTCTCTCCTGCATAAGGAGAAGAATATAAAGCCTGTCTCTCCATCACCCGCAGCTGAAGTGAGCAAAGGAAGACCTGGAATTTCCTCTTTGTTAAAGTGCATGAGCATGTCCTACAATGAGTGGGAAAGGTGTGCTTGTTTCTTTCCCTTTTCACCCGCCTCTGGTTAGAAATGCCACTCTTTGCCACAATATCCCCATGGTGCCCTTTCTGAGGTGGCAGCAAGCCACGCCGCGCAGCAAAGGCTGGCGTTAAAAGCAGTGCTTTCCACCCTAGCTCCAAGCAGCACAGCTCTCCTAAGCCTTTTAAAGTGCATATTTATTATTTAGATCCCCATGCTTTCTAGATCAAGCTGTTCAGCACCCTTTCCTCCCCCTTATCTTCCCATTTTCTTCCGTTTGATTTGCTGTTAGTCGTGCAGAGAGGTGTGCTGAATTAACGCTGCGGTAGCGGGGGCATTCATTGCAGAGCCTCGCTTATTCACATCGCCGGGGTAGGAACCTGCTGAGATGCTTTACTGTGCCATACGCGTGATCTCCCAACCTGTATAAATAAAAGCCACCTGTTGATAAGTATAGCAACAGCATCGTCATATGACTGTTTAATTAATGTCGCTGATTCTTGGCTTCAGCTTTTCTACGTCCAAGGTGAGAATTCAGCTTTTGAATATCCCAGTTTAGGTGAGAGACTGTTCTGTAACCGTATTGCACTGTGTAAGAGTCACGCTTGGTCTAAATTCATAGACTTCCCCCCTCCCTGCTCTTTACTGTAGGCTAATATATGCAGATATTTATTCTTTGTATGTTCCAGGGACCTCGTTTTGTCAGGTTTACCTGAGATCTAATGTTTTGTTGCTTCTCCTTCACAGAATCTGACATTGATGCTGCTACTGCAATGATGCTGTTAAATACTTCCATTCAACAAGGGATGTTGGACTGTAAGCATAAGCCATTTTACTGTTTTTCTTCTCTACCCAGTAGCTAAAGTTTCAGGAAACAAGTATGGTCTAGTTTCCCAAGAGTAAGAGCAGTCAAGAAGCAATTGTGGTTTGATTATTCTTTCTGCTAGCATTACAGAGTTTTACAGAACCACCTTCCTTTTTTTCCCCAACGAACTTTGGTTTTTCTGCAAAGTTCTTCCCCCGCCCTCTTTGTGCTAGATGGTCAGGAGGCTTTCCTAGCTACTTCTCTGTTTCTCCAGCTCTTCGCTGTGATTAGCTGAAGACCGCTGTCCTCTCTGGATGACAGTAGATGTGCACAAGATACTGTGACTCTGAGAAGCTCACGTTCAGCTGACGTTGCAGTCAGCCAGCCACAGCGTGCTCATTTTGCAGGTGATCTCATTGGGGTATTTGCTTACTGACAAATCTTGTTTTTAATAGGTGAGAAACCTCAGCCTCTGAAGACACCGAAGAAGAGGAGTTATGGCAGTGCGTTCAATCCTCCCAGTTCCATAAATTTGCAGGAAAATGATTCTGCGGCCACCAATATCAATCCGAAGGAGGATCACAACTACAGTGCCAGCAGCATGGGCTCCCAGCGCTGCGCATCGAGGTCCAGCGTGTCTTCCTTGTCCTCCCTTGATGAGGTGTACGAACTTATCTCCAAGACCAGCCATGACGGAAGCGACGGCAGTGAAGGATTTCACAGCGAAGTGGATACAGACGTTGACTATGAAGATGATCCTCTTGGAGACAGCGGCTATGCATCGCAACCTTGTGTAGATACCTCTGTGGAAAGTCAGCCTAGCAACAAAGCACTCAAGGAGTTGTGTCAAGAAATTGATGAGGAGTTGAAAGAAGCAGCGGGGTCTCTGCTCCACCTTGCTGGCATCCAGACGTGCTTGAGTTCCTTAATAAGTACTGCGAAGACCCACTGTCACAAGCAAAGGAAAAAATAGTATGTTTGTCAGTGTTGAATATATACATATATTTTTTTTAATTGTGGCAATACTCTTCTACTTTTACCCTTCACAAGGGAGATCAAAGCCATAAGAGAACTCATTGTGTTTTTATTTTTGGCGCTAACTATAATTTAGCCATTTATTTTTAAATCACTGCCTAAAAAGAAAAAAGTTATTTAATCTTCTCAAATTAGAAGAGATGCATGACTTGTGAAAACCTGAAAGCATACTTCTTAATGATCACTTTTGAATTTTCTTTTTGGTAGCCAATTTTTTTTTTTTTCCAGAGATATGTTTATTCACATGCACATTGTGGATCCTATTTACATCTCTGCTGGCTCCATCGACAGAGATGAATTTTGTCTAAGGGCTCTGATTTCCATGTAAAGGATTAAAAAGGAGGAGAAAAAAGAAAGAAAGGGAGAAAAAAGGGTCCTAGCCTTGACTGCCTCCTCCCACTTGTCCTCTCTTTGCTGTTCGGAGACAGGTCCTGGTGGAAATGCTGCTGAAGCAGCTCCGAGTGGCTGCAGTTTTCAGCCTGTCTGACCCAGCAGCTGGAAACCTGTGGCACTCCAGGAGCTGCTTTCAGCAAGATGCTAAGTACCCCCTGGAAGAGTAGGGATAAGGGGTAGCTGAGGTGGGTACCACCGGCAGTTTTCTTTTTTTTTTTTTTCTCCTTCTTCCCCCAAATCTGCTGTGTGCAGGTCAGATTCCTGAAGGAGAACAGAGGGGAGGGTGATTTTCATCTGAAGACAGATTGTCTTTTGGGGTGGGTGGTGGTGGTCTCCTTTTCATGCAGATGCGTGGGTGCGTACACACACCTCAGATGCAGCCAACAGGGAAAGCTGCCACTTGCCAAGTTTGATGTTGTCCTTGTGTTACTGCTGTTGAATAAGTCGTAGCTGCCTAGTCCTGCAACATCGACCCGTCTGCTCCCCTGTACTGATTTGGAGGGAAGAAAAAACCCAATGCTTGATGGTGGTGACAACATCGATGAGGTGGAAGCTTTAGGTGGTGAGCGGCTGCTGAAGAGGGGACATCTTATCCCCTCATCTGAGACAACATAGAATAGCGTCCTTTTGGATCAGAGAACCCTGAATTGCTTTGGGGGGTTCTGCCCCATCCCCCAGCGCCCATTGTTTTTTGTCCCATGGGCTGTCTATAAGTTTTGTTTCCCACATCACTGTGCCTTGTGCTGTGTGAGTCCCACCAGCCTCCTGCGGCAATGGGGCATCGAGCGGGCAAGGCTAGGCTTTTGCCTTTGGATGTACATTGTAGCCCAGGAGGATCTCTCTGTTTTGGGAAGAAATTCCTTCACAAGTCATTTTTGCAATAAAAGAATCTCTTTATAGTTCCCAGACATCCTTTGGCCAAAAACGTTTCAGTGGTATGGTGAACTTTTTTTCCCTCTTTCTTTTTTTTCTTCTTTATTTTCAATTCAATGATGATTGCTTACATCTTCCTGTAGATTATGGCTTTTTTTTTTTTTTCATTTTTCTGTTCAAAGATGGGTAAGCAGTTCTGTTGAAGTGGGTTGTAACAGTACTGTATGTATAAGGATGCCTTAAGTATGTTGCAGAATTGTATACAGCTATCAAAGGTCATCTTTCCTGTTTCCGAAAGGTAGCACAATGTGCCATAAATGTTCTCGCTACCATGTGAAGCTATTGCTTCCAGCAAGTGTTGGGCAAGCTGGTTGAAAATTAGGAGCAGAGCCACCTAGGAAACCAATGTCCACTGTTTTTGTTGTTGAAAACAGTGCCGGATTCAGCCAAAAGTTAACCTTTCCCTAACGGGGTATTTTTTCTGGGTATTTGGAGGCCTTTCTTAGATCAGTTTTATTTTCAGTTGTATTTTTTTTTTTTGCTTACTTGTCAGTCTGTTCATGAATACTGCCATAAACTGTCTACTTTAAATCGGAACACAGCCATGCTGCTGAAGGTCTGGTGCTCTGAGGGCCTGTTCCAGTGCCTCTTGAAGACAACGGTGGTGCTCCCGCTGACTCGATGGCTGTTGGATCCAGCCTGAAATATTTGAGGTTCTTTGTGTTTTGGAATTAAAAGCCAACTTTTTTTTTTTATTTTTTTTTTTTTAAAGACAAACACTAGGATTTTTTTTTTATTTTTTTTTTTTTTTAAAGACAAACACTAGGGAAAAAAAAGTTTTGTTTTGTTTTTCCCCAATGACTTCAGTTTTAAGAACGATTTATTTCTTGAAAAGGAAGAAAAATACTCTGCTGCACTCCTGCTTTGTGTGAACACCCATTAGCCTACACCCATAACAGGGCAACACGTGTGTGGATGTGTATGTCTTCTGGATATCACAAGTGGTGCATGAGCCAATTAGACCTGGTATTGGATGTGTTATTGATGGATAGCAGGGGTAAAACTCACTATTTAAAAGAAAATTAAGTACCGACGCAGTGGTTCTTCAGGTTTTGGAATGTGGAGATGTGAATGCTTGGTGGAACTGCTTTTTGCTCACGGGTTGCTTTTGTACCTTGATGGAAGACTGGAAAGGGCAGAGTTTGCAGTGTCAATGCAGAAACAAGGATCCAGCTACACAGAAATATTGTTAGCAGCCTGGGATTTCGCTGGGTGCCATGATTTCAGGTGCAGACTGTTGAAGAGGGGTGCTGCCTGGCTCCCGCTGAAGGTGGTTGCAGCCTTTCTTGTAGCTTCCAGTGAAAGCTGGATCAAGGTCCAAGTATTCTGGAAATGGTGGTGGTTGTAGTGGGCTCCATGGTTTGGTTCTGAATTATTTTTTGCCTCAGATAAAATTTGAGAAGGTTAATACTTACTAGGAGCGTGGCTGTGCCGCTGTTAACCCTGAAGTTGCTGATAATGACTTCAGCGTTTCTGAAGGGATGGGGTTGGGTTGCTAACAATGCATTTAATTACGATATGCAACAAGCAATAAAACCATACTAATCAGATGTTAACAGTGAAAGCTGCATCCATACTTACAGCTTGAATGGGAAGAACTGGAATTGTGGAAGAGGGCAGGCATGCGCAGCCTTTCCCCAGGACACGGGAGCAGTGTGGCAGGGCCATGCTCTTCACGCTTTGCCATCTTCCCTCCCTCCTTCCGAAGGAGAAGGCAGCTGATCTGTGCCCTGACCTATTCCACCATGTTCTCCCACACCTCTGCCCGCAGGTTTTGGCAGGCAAAGGCCGCCAGCTCGGTTGCAGAGCACCCCTCCTGGGAGTGGGAGAATAGCTGCCCTTCCTTTTGCTTACATACCTAGCGTTGGGTTTGGGTTGGTTTGCCACGTCGGTTAGAGGCCCCGGTGTATATAGTATAAATGGAGTATAATTAAAAGTTATTTTGATTGTTGGGTTTTGGGTTGGTTAGTCACATATGTAAAATGTTCATGCCAATGGTTGACTTGGATATATTTTTGGCAAGAAAAGTATTAATGAACCACCTTCAATTCTTTAAATACAGTGAAGAAGTGTATGAGACTCATGTACAAGGGAGGCTGCTCTGTTCAGGATAAATCTGATGTGATGAATACCCTACGAACCTGTATTGGCCCTTCAGATTCTAATACTAAATTACTCCTTTTGCAAAAGTCGCATCAAACGTTTTAAAATCTGACTGTAAAATGGAAGTTGTGTGGTTCGCAACTTTTCATCAGCCTGAAAAGTAAGTACAAACTTTGGTTAAAGCAGAGTACGCTCATACACCTTAATAATGGCGTAGTCAAAATATTTATTGCAAAAGAAAAGGTAGAATATTTTAAATGTTGCACCTGCCATTATATCTTAAAGCACATTCTTCACACCTAACTGCCAGTGCCATTATCAGATCTGTTTTATAAATGTACATTTCTTCAAACTAAAAAGTGAATAATTAAAAGTATTATGTTACTGCCATATAGTGATATAAAACATTTTATAATTGCCAATTCATTGTAACTATTATTTATTTAAAAGTGAATTGTAAGAATGCTTTCTGATCAAATGAACCAGAGTTGGTTTTAAACCGTTCCCGTTAGCTTCTAATGTAGCATAAGCAATGTCCTTGGGTTTGTTTAGAATAATTTTGCCAGTAGGTAACCAGTTCTAACCCTTCTTCCTCCAGTTTGGTCCTTTACCCGTTTTAAAGACGATTTACAGAAGTTTAGTTTTTTGTATGCTAATCTCTGTTAATTGAAATGTTTATAAAGTTTATTTTTACCAAAGAGATGCAATTCATTATTGACAAAATATTGCAGAATAAACTTTGTTTTATAACATTTGTGACTTTTTCTGCCCACGTTTTTCATTCAGATGATCAAAGGGGCTTTTCTAAAATAAACAGCATTGCAAACAAAAAGCGGTGTTCTCTCTTTATCTACAGACCCTCATCTCACATGGTGCTCCAGCTTCCCTACCTTCCCATTTACAGCTCTTCCACAAGGCTGGGCTAGCGTAAAAAGCCAAATGTGTAATTCATTGTAGGTTTCAGCTTGGTTAAGACCGTTGCGTGCATGTGCAAGTCATCTGTACAGTAACAGAACCCTATCAACCCAGAGCAGGATTTGCTTGCAGTCAGGTTCATCCACAGCTGGCCCCTAATATTTGAAGACCATCTTATTAAGGCTAAGATTTCACCCTTTAACCTGGAAGTCGAGGTATGCTTTGACATCTTGTAGTAGTATTTCAGCAATGTCCATACCTTTTGCCCTCCTGTGCAAAGCATTTGTTTAAACAGCAATACCTCGAATCTTTTTCTGATGAAACATGTCATTATTTCCAGTTCTGTATCCGTATCGCTGAGGCGAAGTTGCTTGTATGACACTCAGAGATCACCAGCGTAACACAGGACAGGTAATTTAAAAAATCCGTCCCTGGATAAAGCTGCCTAGGCCTTGTTTGGTGTTTTTTCAGTGTTTATTTTCTGTAGCGATGATTCACAGTGTCAGTTGGGTGGTTATACACAAGGCCTCATGGAAAGCACACAGGTGGGAACACCCCCTGTTCACTAGCAGGAATTAAATGCTCCCCACCCCACTTCCCTCGTGCCTCAGCTCGCTACTCCCGGGGCAGCTTTCCCCTCGAGTGCACGCACACCCGTGCGCCCTTCCAGTGCCCGAGGGGCAGAAGTACCTGAAGAGGGAAACGAGCTGTGACATGATGCTTATCTCTCTTAAAAGCAGACACTGGCCCAGTTCTTCTATTTTTATTTTTTTAACCTACTAGAATCACAGAGTTAAGTTTCCTCTCTAGGGTCTGATGGAAATATAGCAGTTCCTTTTGCATCACTTGAAGCGATATGGTGGATTTTAACAGACTTGCCTTCATCACCATTTCAAACAATACTGAAATCACAAATTACAGAATATATAC